TTACACTTGAGATCCCTCACCTGAGCACTGGTTAGTGTGTCAGGGTTACACTTGAGATCCCTCACCTGAGCATTGGTTAGTGTGTCAGAGTTACATTTGAGATCCCTCACCTGAGCACTGGTTAGTGTGTCAGGGTTACACTTGAGATCTCTCACCTGAGCATTGGTTAGTGTGTCCAGAGTTACACTTGAGATCCCTCACCTGAGCATTGGTTAGTGTGTCCAGAGTTACACTTGGGATCCCTCACCTGAGCATTGGTTAGTGTGTCAGAGTTACACTTGGGATCCCTCACCTGAGCATTGGTTAGTGTGTCCAGGGTTACACTTGAGATCCCTCACCTGAGCATTGGTTAGTGTGTCCAGAGTTACACTTGAGAGGGTGTCATGCATTTAGGGAAGATTTCCTTTCCTCAGCTTTGTGTGTATTCCACCTGAAGAGGTCTTAGGAAAGGGGTATGCTGATCAGGCAGTTAGATTGACCTTGGACCTTTCTCAGAAATAAGGGTATTCTTTTTTTTTTCCTTGACAGGCGGCCTTGTTTGCACTCCAGAAACTCTTTGAAGAGAATTATGCTCCTCCCCGGCCTATCTTTGTAAGTTCTTAAATATGTGCATGAAAATCCTCTCCCTCTATGAAAATTCCTTTACAGTTAGGGTTTTGTTGTAGGTTTTCTCCCTCCCTGGGATGATAGAATATCTTTCAGAAACTACCCCTCTGTTCACCTTCCTCCCATCAATAGCCTCTTACCTCTGGAAAGATAAGGAAAATGAACCTAGAAGTGATTGATGGAAGACAGGCTGTTCAGAAGAGACGAAAGGCTTAAAGACTTGGTCTCCTTAGAGCTCACAGAGGGATGGACGTGGGCGTGTGATGTCTAAGGCTGTCATTCTTCCCCAGTCACTTGGCATATATCCATTCTGCCAGTGCTCTCCCTCATGAAAGAATGAAAAACTTTCACTTGTTTGTTTCTGTCTTTGTGACTGTATTCTTGACCAGAGTCTATATTGTTGATCTGTTACATTGTTAATTCAGATTTCTGGGACCATTGTTGATAAAAGTGGACGGACTCTTTCTGGCCAGACAGGAGAGGCATTTGTCATCAGCGTGTCTCATTCAGACCCTTTGTGGTGAGTGGCTCTTTCTTTTGGGGCACTTGTACTGGGGGCTGCACAGTGTGGCCCCAGAGAGGCATTGCTTCTGTTTTCCACTGTGCCATTTCCATGATGCACTAGATTTCCTCCAGTCTTTCAGACTTTACTCTAAGGGCTTCAAGGCTACTGTAATAAACAGGCCACGTGATATCAGGAGAGTTCTCATACCTTCTGGGCGGTCAAGTGTTTGCCTCCGAGTCTGCTTATGCTTTAAGACTGCTTGGCTCGGCAGTGCTTTAGGCCAGTGCAGTCAGTTTACACTTTCAGAACAGTGATTGCAAGTGTTAAGGCAATGTCCCTCCCTATTTGTGGGACAAGCGGAGGCATTCCAGAGTAAAATAAAGTAGGAATGTTAAAGGTCAGGTTTTTATCTCTTAAGAATGGAGGGTATATAGAAGTTAGCAATCATGTGAAAAGAGTTAACATATGAGAAACTATTGTTTAATGATTGACTGTTAACACAGACTCTTTGTTAACAAAAAACAGTAGAATCCTGTGTTACTATTAATTCATCATTTATTGAAATCTGGCTATGTACTCTGGAATACTGGCCAAATGAAATAGTCCACATTAAGAAGAAACCCTTCACTAAATAAGAATGTAAACCATGGCTCACCAGGTAAAGGTGCTTGCTGCTAAGCTTGGTGACCTGATTTGATCACCAGGACTCACATGGTAGGAGAAAATCCACTTGTGCAAGTTGTCCTCTGACTTCCAGATGTGCGTGCCTCCCTTGTATTCCCTCACCCCAAATACAAATGGTAAGACGGATGGAGCTGTATAGAAACAGTGAAGGAAATGGCTGTATGTAGTGGTGAGTCCTTGTAAGATTCAGAGATGGCTCTTTAGACATGGTAACATCTGAACTGTGTTGGAAGACTTGAGCCAGAGTTTGCTAAGCAGAGAGACAGAATACATGGGTGTGCCAGAGGGACTTAATGTCATTATGAGAGCTGAATAGTTGATAAGAAATATCCATATGTGATGTTTCATTTGGGCTTTATTAGAACCCCAAGAACTGAGTGGGCATTACTTGCTGTTATCTCTAGGTACTTGTGGTTGAAGACTGCTTGGCTGGGTAATAACAGTGGAAAAGACAAATTAGCATTGGAACTAAGTTTGGAAAACATTCAAACATCCTTACTAGAGATAGCACAATGATTTACAGCATTAATTTTTATATATTGAATCCAGGTGACAGTAGTATTGATTACTTGATTACTTTTTTGTTGCTATGATAAAACACTACAACCAAGACAACTTATAAAAGAAAGCACTTAATTTAGGGCTTGCAGTTTCAGAGGGTTAGAGTTCATGACCATCATGGTAGGGAGAATGGCAGCAGGCAGGCATGGCCCTGGAGCAGTAGCTGAGAGTTCCCATCTTGAGACACTAGGCAGGGAATGATGAAAGTCTTAAGAAACCTTGAAGTCTGCCCCCAGTGACACTCCTTTTCCAACAAGGCCAGACCTCCTACACTTTCCCAGTTTTACCAACTGAAGCATGTGAGCCTCTGGGGGCCATTCTCATTATAACACCACAGTGACCTACCATGAAAGCCACCGAACGTACTAGTAAAATGGCTAAACTAAAAAGGTCTGTTCAGGTGTAAGTTAACCATGCATTGGACCTTGCAGTCCCCTTTTTAAGTGTTTGTTTTTGAGTCAGCGTCTCCTGAAGCTCCAACTGGGCTCAGACTTGCTGTGGCACTGAGGAGACCTCCTGCCCCTGCCTCCTGAGTGCTGGGATTACAGACATCTGCCATTATGCCTGGACTTGGACTTAGCAGTCTTTTTTTTTTTTTTTTTTTTCTGAGACAGGGTTTCTCTGTAGCTTTGGAGCCTGTCCTGGACTAGCTCTGTAGACCAGGATGGCCTCAAACTCACAGAGACCCACCTGCCTCTGCCTCCCAAGTGCTTAGCAGTCTTAAGGGAGATGTGAGGATCGGTTGAAAATCAGTGATCAGAGAATCATACTTGCTTTAGACAGGTACAGGCTTATTTAAACAACAACAACAAAAACATGGAAAGCAGAGTTTTCTATAGTCACTCCCTGCCCACACTTGCTCCAGGTTTCCCTGTTAACAACTTGCTTTGGTGTGGTATGGTATTAATACATTATTAACTGAATACTAGTGTACATTAGAGCTCACTTTTGTACATTCTATGGATCTTCCCAAATATGCAGTGACATGTATCTGCCATATTTATCTATTATAACTTGTATGAATAAATATTTTGAATGAAAGATGATGTTTCTGATACCTGCTTACTGTTTTTCCAGCATTGGATTAAATTGTGCTCTGGGTGCCGCTGAAATGAGGCCTTTCATTGAAACAATTGGGAAGTGTACAACAGCCTATGTCCTCTGTTACCCAAATGCAGGTGTGTTTGGGGCGGGGGGTTGCACATGAACAATGGGATATATTTAAGTCATGATAAATGGGGTAATGTCTTGATTTGGAGAATTGGTGTTGTAGGGTGTGTGTGTGTGTGTGAGTGTGTGTGTGTGTGTGTGTGTGTGTGTGTGGTGTGAACATATAGGAGAAGAGGGAAGGAGGGAGGCTCAAGTGTGTGTATTTGTTTGAGATTCAACATGATTTTGCAGAGAGAGAGAGAGAGAGAGAGAGAGAGAAAGAGAGAGAGAGAGAGAGAGAGAGAGAGAGAGAGAGAAGGGAATTTGGCTTTATGCTAGTGCTTCTCCTTAAAGAACAGTTTTGCTCAGTTAGGGCATAACTTCTGGGAATTGGTCTAGTTATGTCACTAATCAGAATTTTGCCATAGGAATATAGCCAGAGAGATGCCAAAATAAGAGGGATCCCCTCCCCAATTCGTTTATCAGCAGAACAACATTTTTGATAGTAGTAGGTGTTGTTATGTTCTAAAAGCTAAGATCTAGTTGATGGCACATAAAAATTTCAATGATATTTGTAGATCTCAAACTATCTAGTAAATGTTGATAATTTGGTCTAGGCTGGCCAGATTTCCCACGGGATGTTTTGAGTACTATTCAGCTACGTAGGGCTAAAAGTAATTTTCTGTATTTTTTTATCTGAATGTATACATTAAAAATTTTAAAATAATTTTGTTAGTATGTATGCATATGATCTATATATGTGAGTGCAGTTGCATGTGTTGTGGCATGCATCTGGAGGTCAGAGGATAACTTTTGGGAATTGGTTCTCTCCTTCCACTGTGGGTTTTGAGACTTGAACCCAGGATGTCAGGCTTGTGCAACAAATGCTTTTATTTGCTGAGGCATTTCACCAGCCTCAAATATATACATTGAAAAATGTATAAAAAAGGGTCTGAAGAGATGCTTCAGTGGTTGAGAGCACTTGTTCTTGCCAAAGACCCGGATTTAATACCCAGCATCTACATGTTGACTCACAACCATCCATAACTCCAGTTCTAGGGGATCTGACGCCCTCTTCTGAACCCCCTGGGCACCAGGCACTCAGGTGGTGCGTAGGCATAAATTTGAGCAAAACACATATACCCATAAGTAAATCTTATAAAATGCAGACTATATTTTATTTTTCTTTAATAATTAGGGGCAAGGCATGAATCCAACAGGAAACTAGATAATCAGAGGGTAAAAAATAAGGTTATACTAAAGAGAGATAAACATTTACTTTAGAAACAAAAATGTCACAAGCCCTAGGTTAAAGATATACATGGGAAATAGTTCAGATACTATGAAACCTTTTATGCTGTCTGAAATATAGTAGAAGCATTTACTTTAAAGAAGGCTGGTTTTTCTTGTTTTTTGTTGCATTGCATATCAGATGGTCATTAGTTCGAAGGCTGTGGGAGTGTGTACAGGGTGTCTTCTGCACAAGCAGTTTTGTAAGAATGAGTTTATCTTGTAGTAAGGGGCTTGGAGGTGGAGATTGGAGCACTGTTCCAAATGGGAGTGAACTCTCTGTTTAATATGAACAAGAAAATGAATGTTCTCCAGATTTTATTGTTGTGATGCTATCTGTTATATCAGTACTATATTATTATTCACTTTGTAAGTAATTAAATTTTGAGTGTCAATACAGAATTGTATAAGTTTTAAAGTACTTAAGTATTTGTTTAGATACTTTCGAATAATGATTGAAATGTCCTTTCTCAGGTCTTCCCAATACTTTTGGTGACTATGATGAAACACCATCCATGATGGCCAATCACCTAAAGGTCAGGGATCCATTCATTTCAGTTCTGAAGAGACAGATACAATGTTCTTTTCATTAATTACTTAATTAACTTTGAGGTCCAGTCTGCCTTGCCTAAGCTGCTCTTAAACTGGCCGTCCTTCTGCCTCAGCCTCCTGAATAGTTGGGTTTATAGAGGCATGTGTCACCATGCGTGATGGAAGGTGGTATTTAGATTTAACGTAATTTTCCCTCAAAATCTAGTATATAAGTAAGAAAATAAAGTTTAGGTACTCTGAGTTAAAGTAGTGGAAGCATAAAGCAGAGCTTAGCTGTCTGCTTACTTATTGATTGGCAGTGGTATCTGTTGGAAAATTCCCAGCGAGGTCCTCTCCAGAGTAAATGAGTCATGGCTCTCTACAATGTCCCCTTTGCAAAACTATCAAATAATGACTTCCCCTTTCATTCGCTTCAAACTGCTGGGTGGGTGGACTAGATGTCCACTTGGCTCCATGTTGCTATCTGCAAATCCTTCCTCTCTTGAATGTACTTGCCGTCTTTGAATCATGAGGCTGAATTACCACTGCTGTTGCTCAGTGCACTCATCTAATGATGCCTGTTCCCCTTCAGTTTTTGAATGTTCAGCTCCTGGCTCACTGATGCTCCTAGACTGTTTCTGAGTCAGTTCTTAGATTCCAGTATCCATTCTTTGTTTCCATTGAGATAGTCCCTGTTTTTGAGCTGATGATTCTACTGCATCAGTCTCCTGAGGACCGAGATTATAATTTCAATTATCTTAAGTAGATAGTCTTGGTGCTCTGCTTTCTCAGCCCCTTTATTTCATCTCACTTTTCACTCACTAGCCTCGGCTTGTTCCAGACCCTGCTGATCATCATGGCACCTTACCCATGTGTTTGATGAAACACTTGAAACATGGCTATGTGACAAAGGACCTTCATTTTTTATTTAAAAAATTTTTAAATTAAATTGAAAAACTGACACTCATATGTTATTTGAAAATGTATTGTCCATTTCATATTCATTCTTGTCATTGGGTAAAAAAAACTGTTTCATTTAATCAGATAGGCAAATAAAATGTCTACTGTGTTTCAGACAGCATAAAAGTTTTCATAGTATCTGAACCATGTCCCATGTGTCTTTTACTTAAGGCTTGTGACATTTTCCAATCTAAAGTAAATATGTTTATCTTTCTTTAGTATAATCTTAGTTATTCAGGAAATATAGAGTGTAAATGCTCTTTTGCTGAGTTTGTTTTGGTAAATTTAGAATTCAGATGAATTCACTTTCTCTAAGTACAGGACTTTGCCATGGATGGCTTGGTGAATATAGTCGGTGGCTGCTGTGGTTCGACACCCGATCATATCAGGTAATGGCTACCTCCTTTTTCTTGCTTTAGAAGGACAGCTAAGTGTTCTTTGGTGAAGCACATAGCTCCGTTAGAGTCTCTCCTCCAGAGAAAAAGCAGTCAGGTGACTAGCATCTGGAGGTCTAGGGGAATATCCTTTTTTGTGCTGTGTAGTCATTACTTACTCATGCTTTCCAGGGCCAGCGTGAAGGAAGGAGTGAAAAATGACAGTGCTGTTATAGACACGTTTATCCTTATAATTTGTGGTTCTCAGAAAGATTGGCATTCAGAGGATGTCATTTAGGACTCTGCCATCTTTCCTAGAGTGAACAGTGATTGTGTTTTCAGCCAGCCCTTACTGTTCCATGTATGTGCACATAATATATTTTTTTAGCTAAGTTACCCAATACTTTTTTATTTTTTTTAAAACTGCTTTTCTTGACTTCTCTGATAGAATTTTTGGCTGGAACTTTCTATGTAGACCAGGCTGGCCTGGAACTCACAGGGGTCTGCCTACCTGTCTTTGCCTTCTGAGTGCTGGGCTTAAAGATGTGTACCTACACATCTGGCCTCTATGATAGACTTTTTTTTTTCAAAATTTTTTTGAGACAGGGTTTGTTTGTGTAGCTTTGGAGCCTGTCCTGGAACTCACTTTATAGATCAGGCTGTCCTCGATCTCAGAGATCCACCTACCTCTGCCTCCGGAGTGCTGGAATTAAAAGCACTCACCACCACTGCCTGGTGACTTTTTTAAAAAAATTTATTTATTTTTATTTTATGTACATTGGTGTTTTGCCATGGGTGTCAGGTCCCTTGGAACTGGAAGGAATTACAGACAGTTGTGAGCTGCCATGTGGGTGCTGAGAATTGAACCCAGGTCCTCTGGAAGAGCAGTCAGTGCTCTTAACCATTGAGCCATCTCTCCAGCCACAATGATAGACTCATTTAATAACTATAAAGTTACTATATACTTGCTTTTTTGGTGCTGTTAATTGAACAGGGTTTTGTATATACTCATCATCTATTCTAGCACACTATACCTACATCCCTATTTTTAATACATCTTTTATGTTAAATCTTCATCAGTAGTTGAAGTATTGTATCTTTGGATCACAGATTGACTCTTCATTTTTTAGTTCACTTCCTCTTTAATGGAGAAGTTGTTTTAGCTTGTGTATTTGTAGGTTGATGTACTTACCTATATAACTTCTGCTTTTACTTAGTCACCCACATACTAATTTGGAGACAGTAGAGTGAGCAGTGCCTACAGGTCCTGATAAATAAATAGAGAAAGCTAGATTTTTGTGGTTTATCAAACACATGATTCATTGAAGTTGACAATGTTGAAGAGACTAGATAACTGAAACCCGTTTGGAGGAACAATTGTTTTGAAGCATTCAAGCTCTACTTCTCTTTCCATCCCCTGTTGTATGCACAGGACTGTCCTCTCCCACTGCCAGCAAACAGGCCCAGTCCCCAGTTTACTGCTATTTCTCGGAGCTCCAGGCTTCTTTTTGAAGTTGTTAAGCGGTTGATTAGATAGCAAGGGCATGTTTTTGTGTGGATTTGTAAAGGCTGTCTATCTGTGGGCTGGGGAAGGGAAGGGCTTGCAGTGTGTCTTTGTGCAGACCTCACGTAGCAGCTCCAAGCTTGTGTCTGGGATGGTGGAAGCAGCTCAGGCAGCACTGATGAGCTTTCTGTTGCTGAGGAAACTGAAGGATGTAACTGCTGCTGTACATTTAAGTAGGCATATCATTGTGTGCATGGGTATATTGATGCAGACTTACTTCATAGCTGGAAATTAGCTTACTTAAATTTATGTTGCTCTGAATTAATGAATATAGTGTTTTCTCTTTTAACTTAGGGAAATTGCTGAAGCTGTGAAGAAGTGTAAGCCTAGAGTTCCACCTGCTAGTGTTTTTGAAGGACATATGTTACTATCTGGTAAGTCTGAGGATGTGGTTTTGATTTAAAAGCCATCTGTAGGATGTGTTTAATGTGCTTGTATCTAAGTGGTAGTAATATTTATATCAGGAAGCTTATTAGGTCAAAGAAGAGTGCTTATTTTTCTTGGCACTTAGGTAAATTTTACTAGAGAATTGTTTTTTTAAGGATGGGGTAGAAAGATTTATTTCAGGGTAAAAATGAATGAAAGCTGGGTGATTTGCTCATGTACTTCCCTTGTTTCAGTGAGAATCTGTGGGTTTGTCTTTGCTGCACAGTGATAACATACCCTTGTCCCTTGCCTAACAATTTTAATGGTCAGTTGATAGGAATTATTGAAAATTCTAAATGGCTAAGGCCTAGTGCTTTGTAATGGCAACAGTGTCTTCCTGGAAAATTTCATTTGCTTCCAGATATTGTTAGAATCTTACATTTGTTTGGGTCTTTATAATTATTTGTATATTTATTTTCTGTGTGTTTCTTTTTTCTTCTTTTCCTTTTTTTTTGAGACAAGGTCTCTTTAGCCCTGGCTGTCCTGGAACTTATTTGTGTAGACCAGGCTGGCCTCAAACTCAAGGAGATCCACCTACATCTGCCTCCTGAGTGTTGGGATTAAAGGCATGCATTACCATGCCTGGCTTTTTTACTTTATTTTATTTTCCTGAAATAGTGGTGTATTAAGACAGGTCTCATTGTATAGCCAAAGGCCACCTCAAACTAACAATCCTCTTGTCTCCTCTTTCTGAATGCTAGGATTACAAGTATGTGCCATCATGTCCAATCTGAAAAACACTTTGTTAACCTGTGTGTAAACAGTGAACAAGAGAAGCACTGCTTCTGTATCTGATTTGTCATTCCTCCTAGATCAGAAGCACTTGTCAAATGCCATTAGGTCACACGAGCACTCTCAGTGTTAGTGGTTGTTATCCCTATTTGCCTGGTACACAATCCTGCAGATTATGTGAAAGGTCAGGGGCATAAGACTCATTAGCAATGAGAAAGTCAGAAGCTGGAACTGTAGAAAGTGATTGCTTCCTGAGTCTGTGAACAAATGGCCTGGAATATCTGCATAATTACCCAGCCCATTCATAATCTTCCTCTTGCTCATATTAGCTTTTTCATATAATGCTTTGGCAAAGGACTCAGAGGCCATTTTCTTTTTTAATGACAGCTCTGATAGCTGATGCTAATTTTGTGCTTCATTTTTATGCTAATTAAGGTAGAGATCATACCTGATTTGTAAGCCAAAAGGTTGTGTGGGCAGTTGTCTCAGATTGTGTGATCATATAAGTGATGAACCCAAGGCCATGTGTCTCCAGAATCTACCTCTGGCAATTCAGGGAGACTGCTTCTTAAATTACTTTAAAAACAAAGCAGTTTGAGAACCTTTTTACCTGAGTATAATGCATCTACATGTATTATCTGATACTTGCCTCTGAATTATTAGCCTGTGCCAGGGAAGAAGCTGTTATTCCTTAGAAAATAAAGCAATAATACACCAGAAGCCCAATGGCCTGCCTTGGGTGCTTCATGTTGGAAGACCTGCCACAGTGACTCCTGCATCTCCATCTGGGTCCTCCCTCACCATCCAATTTGGCAGTGCTAGTTTCAGGTTCAAGGTCTCTCAATGAAAGAGATGGAGTGACCTCCCACATATACTGTTGATGGGACCTTCCACATACACTGTTGATGGGACCTCCCACAGTCACTGTTGATGGGACCTTCCACATACGCTGTTGATGGGGTGAAGAAATTTGCTCCATGCAGCTGCAAGCTGATTTCTGATAGAAAGCAGTTTTTTTTTTTCTTTGAGATAGAATTTTGCATCATAGCATATGCTGGCCTCAAAGTCCTACATGCTACAGAGTTCTGGGATTATTGTCATGAATCGCCATGTCTGATTCAACAATCCTTTTTGTTTGTTTGTTTTTTCAAGACAGGATTTCTCTGTGTCCTGGAAATTGCTTTGTAGACCAGGCTGTCTTCGAACTCACAGAGCTCTGCCTGCCTCTGCCTCCTGAGTGCTGGGACTAAAGGTGTGTGTTTTGTTTTTACAGTACTTATTATTCTTTGAGAATTTCATACAACGTATTTTTAACATATTTACATAAATCCCAACTTTTCCAATAACTGCCCTTTCTACTCTGCCATCCCTCCCTACCCAATTTTTAGTTTTCTCTCTGTCTTAGTTAGGTTTTCCATTGCTGTGAAGAGACACTATGACCATGGCAACTCTTATAAAGGAAAACATTTAATTAGGTAGCTTACAGTTCAGAGGTTCAATCCATTGTCATTATGGTGGGACATGGCATCATATAGGCAACATGGTGCTGGAGAAGGAGCTGAGAATTCTACATCTTGATCTACCGGCAACAGGAAGTGAACTGAGACATGGCCATATCTTGAGCATAGGAAACTACAAAGCCTGACTCCACAGTGACACATTTCCTCCAACAAGGCCACACCTACTCTAACAAAGCCACATCTCCTAACAGTAACACTCCCAGTGAGCTTTTGGGGGCCAGTTTCATTCAAACTACCACACTCCTCAACCTTCCAGTTGGAGTGGCCTAACTAGTTTGACTCCTTTTTTTTTATTTTTTATTTCTAGACAGGGTTTCTCTCTGCAGCCCAGACTGTCCTGGAACTCACTCTGTAGACAGGTTGGCCTAGAACTCACAGAGATCTGCCTGCCTCTTCCTCTCAAGTGCTGGGATTAAAGGCGTGTGCCACCATTGCCTGGCTGCACATGGGTTTTGAAAAGAAAAGTGACACACACTCCATTTACCTCTCTTTCCCTACCTCCTTCTCAGCTCATGGTGAGATTTGGTGCCCACTTCCCCTCATGTAGCCCTGAATGAGACATAACAGGCTCCTCTCCCAAGGCTTAGGGGTTTTCAGGGGAAAGTGGGGCAGAAGGATATAGCTGCCAGAAGTTGTGGGTAGCATCACCAAGCAGGGTTTTCCAGACACAACAGAGTAGTTGCATGTATGAATTCAAAGCAAACAGAGCAGCATGCACAAGACCGACTCAAGCTCAGTCCCCTTTTGATTTGAAGCCTCATCACGGCTTTTGCCCCAGAGTGGTAGTTAAGTAAGAATGATGGTGACTTTTCCTTTTCAGAGGCTGTGTGGGCCAGTGCACTATGGGTGTTTGCAGCAGAGAGCTCTGATCTTCTCTTGGGAGATCTGATTGTAAGCACAGTTGCAACAAGTAGCCTTTCAATGTTCAGAAAAGAGTGTGATCTTGTTTCCCTTCAGATCTCTTATCCCATCTGCTCAGATGGGCTTTGACATTCTTGCTGAAAATACTTTGTTTCATGTCATCCATGTGCATTTTCAAGATTTTCTCAAAATGCTTCTCCTTTTAAGGTCTAGAGCCCTTCAGGATTGGACCATACACCAACTTTGTTAACATTGGAGAGCGCTGTAATGTGGCAGGATCTAAGAAGTTTGCTAAACTCATCATGGCAGGAAACTATGACGTGAGCATCCTCATGAGACCCCTGGGGCATTGCCATGCCTCTGGGTAGACTACATGTCAGAAACGTGTGTTTGTTCTGGCTGGTGCTATTGCAGAGCTGCTAGAAGTATGTGAGGGTGCTGATGGCAGCTGGTAGTGGGTGGGACTGCTGGACGATGAGGCTTTGAAGACTTGAAGCTGCTGTTACTGGTCAGAAAGCATTACATATGGGGCATGGGGTGAGAAGACTGGGAGGGATCCAGCTTCTAGTCATTCATTGTTCTGTAAGTTTGGATATTTGGGAATACTCTCCACTTTGGCCTCTCAGAAACCAATCCCATTATTTTAAATTATGTATTATGTATATGAACATTTTGCTTACATGAATGTATGTGTGCCATGTATGTGACTGGTGCCCACGGAGACCAGAAGAGGGCATTGGATCCCTAGGAGATGGAGTTACAGATGGTTGTGAAATTCCATGTGGGTGCTGGGAACTGAACCTGGGTCTTCTGCAAGAGCAACAAGTATTTATTTATTTTCAAGACAGGGTTTCTCTGTGTAGCCCTGGCTTTTCTGGAACTTGCTCTTTAGACCGGGCTGGCCTTAAACTCACAGAGATCCACCTGCTTCTGCCTCCCAAGTGTTGGGATTAAAGTCATGACCACCGCCTGGCAACAAGAAGTATTTTTAATTACTGAGTCATCTCTGCTGCTCCGAAAGAGAATTCTTACTCATCTGACCACATCAGATGCTTGCTGAGGAAGGTATTGTTGATCCTGTAGGTCAGCACAAAATGAAAGGCCCTTGCCTTGAGAAGTCTGCATTTTTAAGCTGTATAATACTATAGATGAGTCAAATTTAATCCACACAGAGCATGCTTAAACATCTGGATAGATTTTACTTTTCTACAAATATGAAATAAAAATGGAAGAAGATGGTTTGAGGTTTTGGGTTTTGTTTTTCCTGTGACTTAAATTCTTTCTTTTTTATCCTGGTGGTGGTGGCATATACCTTTAATCCTAGCACTGGAGAGGCAGAGGCAGTTGTATCCTTATGAGTTCGAGTCCAACCTTGTTTACAAAGTGAATTCCAGGGTAGCTGGGGCTACACAGAGAAGCTCTGTCTCAGGGGTGGTGGTAGGGGGAATTTTTTTTTTCTTTTTTAAACTGGGGCATAGTGGTAACTACATGTCTTTAATTCCAGCACTGGGGAGGCAGAGGCTAGCAGATTTCTATGAGCTCAGGCTGGCATGGTCTACATAATGAGAGCCAGTCTAAAAAAATATGTTTTTAAAAATTATTTTGTCTGTCTTTGTGTGTGTATGTGTGTGTGCTTCTGTATGTATACGTGTGCATACCTGAACATTCATGTTCAAGCCACTTTGTGCATGTGGAGGTCAAAGGACAACTTGCAAGAGTTGATTCTCTCCTACATTTATTTCTTGGATCAAATTTAAGTTGTCAGGTTTGGTATCAAGCACCTTTACCAGCTGAGCCATCTCATTGTCATTGTCCTTTGAGTGTTTTTTTTTTTTTTTTTTTTTTTTTTTTTTTTGGTTTTTCGAGACAGGGTTTCTTTGTGTAGCTTTGTGCCTTTCCTGGAACTCACTTGGTAGCCCAGGCTGGCCTCGAACTCACAGAGATCCTCCTGCCTCTGCCTCCCGAGTGCTGGGATTAAAGGCGTGCGCCACTGCCGCCCGGTGCGTTTTTATGATGGCTTTTTAATTTCAGGATCTGAATAGATTTAAGTGTTTTTTTTTAAATATACTTATTTTATTTGTGTGTGCATGGGAGTCTAGAAAGGACATTAAATCCCTTAGAGCTAGAGTTTGAGGGATTCTGTGGGAAGCCTGGCCTGTTAGATGTGTGCTGAGATCAGAACTCAGGTCCTCATGGTTGTGCATTAAGTGCCCTTACCCTTTGGACCATCTTTCTAGCCTATAGATTTAGGTGCCCAACCCCTCAAGACAGGGTCTTACTATGTAGTTCTGGCTGCTCTGGAACTCACTATGTAGACTAGGCTAGCCTTGAGCTCGCAGTGATCAGCCTGCCTCTGCCTCCCAAGCATTGGGATTAAAGGGCCACTATGCTTAGCTTAGATTTAGTTTTTAGCCATGCAGCACCAACTCATTTGTTTCTCATCCTTTTTGGAATTGCTAACCACTGTTTCCTGGCATCCCCTGATGTCTTTCTTAGTGCAGGTTTTTGTTGCCTGCTGCTCTTTTTCATCTTGTTGCTGTTACTCTTGCCATGTACTTCCATCTTGCTTGTCCTCCGGATCTGGAAGTTCTTTTTGTGAGGAGGATACAGTTCAGCTTCTTGATAGGATACAGTTCAGCTTCTTGAGGCCGTCATCTGTTGTCTCCACCTGTGCTTGGAGCCTTACCATCTTGATTTGCCCCCTCAGCATTCTGGACGGTTGCTCTGCCCTCATGCCTTGGCTCTTTTTTACCTTCTGAAGTCCTTGTGACCCTTAATAGTCAGATGGTGTTTGTCAGTTGGCAGAGGAGCTCTTTATTTTGATTCCTCTGCCTATTCTCTGGATATCTGTTTCAGCTTTGAGATTGATTGCCTGGTTAGTGAGGGCAGAGACACTTTAGGAGGAAGTACACAGACAGACAGACTGTTCAGGTTTTCTGATGTGCCTGGCCACTGTGCTAAACTTGCACAGTCCCATGAAGTCAAACTGCTTGTTTCCACCATTCCACAGATGTGGTATTGGAGAGTTGGGGAGGTTAAAATTGCCAGTCCATCGTTACATAGAGTTGATAAAGAAAGTCTTGAAGCCCATGTACTCAACTGCCTGTGGTCTTTGCCTGGCGGGACCTGTAGGGAGGTGCAGCTGAAGTGGGGTTTGGGCACAGACTGGGTGGATGAGTCCTTCATAGACTCTACATTTCCCTGACTTTAGTGATCTTCAAGGCCCTGTGCTTTGAAGGGGAGAGCACTGATAGAGCAATGTTAGGTCTGATGTCTTTCTCTTAAAGGAATGATGCCATGACCCTGAGCTAGTTTGGGAGCACTCGACCTTCAAGCACTTGTTCTGTGACTGATGAAATAGGTCAGATAATGGCATCTGTATTTCCCAGGTCTTTGGAACCTCTGTTGATAACCTGTCTCCTCTGCTTCCTCCAGTCTGTTCCTCCATTGGTGGGATGAAGACTTTTCCTCTCAGGACACACCACCTTTGTTAAAGTTGGTTAGCTTTCATATCTGATTTAGATAATCTTGGTATTTGATCCCCACACTGGTTATCAATACTTGTTTGTGTTGTTTTTCAATGTGACAGAATTGTGTGCCTCCAACTAGATATGAGCCCTTCAAGAACAGGGGTCGTGATGTACCTTTTTTATTCCTAATACTATTAATATCATCCCTGATACTAAAAACCACCCCCTTCTTGCCTGTGCTGGGGCAGAACCCAGCATCTCATGTTTGCTAAGCAAGTGCTATAGCCGCTGAGCTGCAGTCCCAGCTCTGCCTCCCTGCCCTGTTACACACCCACACACACACACACACACACACACACACACACATACACACACACACACTCACTCACTCTTGAACCTAGGGCCTTGATTGTGCTAAGTAAGCACTGCCACTAAGCTGCAGCCTAAGCACCTAACCACCTGAAATCCTGTTTTTAGACAGGGTCTTACTGTGTATCCCTGGCTGGTCTCAAACTCAAGAGACCTACCTCCACCTCCCAGTGCTAGAATTAAAGACCTCACTGCCATGCCCAGCCTGAAAGCCATTTTTAATTTGTACTTGTTGTGATCCTTTGGTCTGGGAGTGTAGTTCAGTGGTAGAGCTCTTAGTTATCCTTGTTAACCTCTTTCTCTGTGTAGATTTGTTCTCTGGCATACGCCCAATGGCTTCTTCCTGTTTATCACAGTGAATGACAAATTCCTTCTGTGTGGTGTGTGTGTGTGTGTGTGTGTGTGTGTGTGTGTGTGTGTGTGTGTGTGTGTGTGTTTTGTGTGTTTTGTGGGGGGTGAGAGGCAAAGAAAAATCAGGCTATCAGCAGTATCTATTACTGATTTTCCCTTTGCTCATTTATTGGGCTACAAAACTATAATGAAGACTCCAACAAGTGTCTGTGTTATGTTTGTTAGGAGGGCCTGGAGAGATGGCTCATGAGAGTATGTTAGGCTTTTGCAGAGGACTGCCCATTTGGTTCCCAGCACCCACATAAGGCACCTCACTTCCCCCTGTACTCCTGTTCCAGGGGAATCTTACACCTACCGGCTTCCGTGGGCACCTTTGGGCACATGGCATATACTCAAACAGACACACATTTATATGCAAAGTAAAAATAAATCTTTACCTATGTGGGTAAACATTGAAGGATTAAATGAGTTTGGATGGTTGCTCTAAAGATCTTTCTTGAAAGAGCTAGACTTGAGCTCGGTTTGAACCAGTGTGGAAGGAAAAGTGATTATGTTGCTAGCAATGATATTATGTGATGTGTGGCACAGAGGTGATACTTGTCTGGGTAAAGTGTCCAGTGAGGGCCAACCAAGAAAGGCATTTGGGTGAGAAGGTGTCGTTGCCTTAGAGGCTCAAGAGTTTAGATCCTTCATGCTAGGAAGCTGCTTTGGTGGACTCTAAGCAGTGAGGTGAGGTGTGAAAGGGTTAGTAGTCTAGGGTGAGCATTGGGGAGTAGGGGACAGGCCTAGAGTCAGGAGCCACCATGTCTATTTCAGCAACAAAGGGCCTCTGAGGGTGGGAGGAATTACTCTTCTTAGTCTCCTCTCCTAACCATACTTCTCCCATTCCTCCTCTAGGAAGCCCTGAGCATTGCCAAAGTACAGGTGGAAATGGGCGCTCAGGTGCTGGATATCAACATGGACGATGGCATGCTGGATGGTCCCAGTGCAATGACCAGATTTTGCAATTTTATCGCCTCTGAACCTGACATTGCCAAGGTTGTACAAGGTTTATACTCATCAAGGAGGTTTACCCGGTTGCTGTCATTCATTTATTTAGCCTTGTCTATCTGTCCTCTGAGGCACTGCTTCTCTTTTCCTACATTGAAAGTACCTTTGTTTCTGATTCTGAGCTTCCTTATTAAGCAGTCTGTTCCACCCAGAGCAGATTTTAGAGTGATTGGGCTTGGCTGTTGATGAGGCGTCTTGGAGAAGTAGGCTTCAAGGGAACTGAGTTTTGTCTCTTGTCTGGAGTGTGAGAGTTGACTGTTGTATCTCAGAGGGATGCGCTTAGCTGTTGCTTCCACACTGATTCTATTCCTACCATGGGAAATGGAGCTCAGTGAGGGCTTCCTTACTGTTAGAAGAGGCCTTGTTAGGCATAGCAGATTAAGACAGTGACATCTAGCAGGGTTAAATGAAGGTATTCTGTCAGTATTTATACTTGTTCTTTAAAGGGTAATGTTAGGGGTTGCAGAGCTGCCTCGGTAGTTAAAAGCACGTACCGCCCCTGAGGAGGACCTGGGTTCAGTTTCCTATACTTACTTCTGGCAGCTCACAATTGCCTATTAACACCAGCTTCAGGGGGATCCAGCTCCTCTGGCCTCCACAGGACCCCCAGACAGACACAGATCTAGACACATTTAAAAATAATAATAAAAAAATTGCTTGTTTGTTTTTGAGATAGGGTCTTACTGTGTAGTCCTGGCTGACCTAGAACTCACAAAGATTTGCCTTTCTCTGACTGCTGTAAAAACTAAATGTTTCAGAAAGGTGAAAGGCTTTTGTATCAGTCTTTTAGAATGTTTTAGAGGATTTAAGCAAAACCTTTTTTTCTTTGTCTATGTAGCCAAGGTTGACCTTGAAATTCCGGCTGCATCCACACTGGTGTTTACCACCATGCTGGGAAGGACTTTTAAGGGTTTTTTGTTTTAAAGAAACTGTTCCCAGAGTTGCATATTTTTAGGTTGAACTGTCTTTTTTTTTTTTTTTTTTTTTTAAATTAGGCTTTAGTAAGAACTTAACCAGAAGCCTGTAGTAAGCATTAAATTATATTTACCCATCTTCCATTACTAAAAGCCCTTCCAGTTTTCTAGGAGTAAACCTTTTAAGATTGACAGGTTCAGAGCAGCTCTGGTTTATTCTGAGTCAGTCTGAATCAGAGCTGTGGGGAAGAGGTCTGGATCTCCTTAGAGCCAAGCACACCCTTCCTCATCTCTAAGGTGAGGTGATCAGACCTGCTGTGTTCAATACTTCAATTGTGATGGTGAGAGTCTCTTGTTAACTGAAGGATCTTATGCACTGCAAAGAACTTGTTACTCAGTGCTCTGACTTGCAACAAATGACCTTTCTTCCCTGGTTTTAATCTACTATTAAATTTACTGGACATTGGGTGTGGTGGCACATGCCTTTAATCCCAGCACTCAGGAGGCATAGGCTGATCTCTGTGAGTTTGAGGCCAGCCAGGTCTACAAAGTGAGTTCCAGGACAGTAACAGAGAAACCTTGTCTGGAAAAACAAAAACAAAAATGGACAAAAACAAATAAAAATTTACTGGAGGCCAAATTTAGGTCAGTAGGATAGAATCTAAAAATATGCACCGAGCAGAGAGGGAAAGGCAGGGAGATCGCAGTTGGAGACTAGCCTGGGCTACATAGTGAGACCCCAAAGACCCTGACTTTAAAGACCCAAAGTATGAGTAGTACGTTTTCACCAGCAGAGTTGGAACACCAGACTGTGAGCTCTTTCAGACCCTGGCCTGGTACTTACCTGCCATTGCATTTGACCCTTTTTTGGGGTAAACACTTTATTACTAGTGTGCTAAGGAAAGCAAGATTGGAAGAGTCCTGTGTTTAAATGGTGTCTTACATCCTGTGCTGGCCTGGAAATCACTGTGTAGTTGAGGATAGCCTTGAACCTTTTAATTCTCCCGCCTGTATCTTCCACGTGCAAGGATTAGGCTTCTGTCAACAGTTTGTGAACTGAGGTCCTCCGTAAGTACTCCACCAACAGTGCTACTTCCCTAGACCTCCCCACCCATATCACCCTTTAAAACGATAACTTTTTTCTGTGTGTATTCATGGTATTGGGAAGCAAAACCAGGGCCTCGCACATGTCAGGTCTCTGTTGCTGAGACAGAACTACCCCTAGACTCCTTGTTCTTTTTGTTGTTCTGTGTTCTAGCCTTTCCTGTACTTTCGTCTTTACTTGTTTAAACATTTATCTTGGTAATGGTGAAGCCAAGGACCTGTTTGCCTTCGAGGGAGGGAGTCAGTTACTAACTGACTGCCCTAAATAATAGTACTAAGTCAGCTATCCTGCCATATTTATTTCTTTGTGGCAGTGAATCATCCTTTTACCTTTCTTGGAGCAGAGGCTGGATTAGTCCATGGTCTCTCATATGTTCATTTTAGTTGTTTGTTTTGATTATTCGCAGTTACTATTTTTGGGGGGATTGGGGACTAGATCTGTTTTTCCTTTCTAATAATTTTTTTTCCCTGCTCAGGAATTTGTTTTTATAAAGAGAAGATTTAATTTGAGTACCTTGGCCAGAGGGATCTTTCCAAAGAGCAAGACGCTCGACCTTAATATGAGTCTGGGTAGAATGCTTGAATAGTCGAGCAGGTGTTTGCCTTAGGGTTTAAGTGCTTGGAAGTGTAAACTAGGCCTAAGCCCATGAACTGCTCTCTTGGATTCTCTGTCTTTGAGTTATAAATCTTGGCCTGTGTACATATTCTCTTGTGAGCTGATCTTACTATAAATATTTAAGCTTAAATAAGTGTTTTAAAATCCTATTTTAACACCCCAGATTTATTTATTGTTCCTTAAAGAAGCAATAGAGTTTTGTTGGGAACCATTCAGAGGGGACTTCTGGTGACTTGTGCCCTGTGATCTTCCTGTCTTTCTGTCTCAGGTGCCACTGTGCATCGACTCTTCCAATTTTGCTGTGATTGAAGCTGGCTTGAAGTGCTGCCAAGGGAAGTGTATAGTCAATAGCATCAGTCTGAAGGAGGGGGAGGAGGACTTCTTGGAGAAGGCTCGGAAGATTAAGAAGTTTGGAGCTGCTGTGGTCGTTATGGCTTTTGATGAGGAAGGACAGGTAAGTGGTTTCTGTTGGCCTGGCACTGTTGCCACCCAGTGAGAAAGCAGTGGGAGAAAACCAGGTCTGAAATAGCTGTATGTGTATACACACAAACATGTACATGTGCTTATCTGTCCACTCAAGTTTACACATATATTCATAATACACTTCTGAAATCTGATATGTTGTACAGTCTTTACATCAATAAGGAAGGGTTGAATTATTTACTAAGTTGTTGGGACAGACAGCTGGTTTTACATTTGGAAGAAAAAAAAAGTAGAGTCCTGACTTAAATCATTTTGTGCTGCTGTAGTACAATACCACTATCTTAGTTTCTTTTCTATTTTTATGGTAAAACACCATGACCAAAGCAACTTAAAAAAGAAATCATTTAATTTGGGGTCACGATTGCAAAGGATTAGAGTCCACATCTTTCATGGTAAGGAGCCCGACAGCAGGCAGGCTTCCCTTTTGGAAACCCACACCTAGTTACATGCCTCCAACAAGGCCACACCTCCTAATCCTTCCAAACTTAGGACCAAGCATTCATATATATGAGCCTATGGAGGCTAATCTCATTCAAACCACCACAACCACAAACTTGGTAATTTTAAAATACTGTAAATTTATTTGGCTCACAGTTCTGGAGGCTAAAAAATTGAGAGCTTTTTGGCTGCTTTGTCCCTTAGTGAGGGGGCAGAGAAAAGGTGAGGAAGAGCAAGGGAGGGTGGAACTTGGTTTTATAAAAAATCCACTTTTTGGCAGTGAGCCCATCCCTTTGATGACAACATTACATATCTAAGAAGGAAGAGCCCTCAAACCTAGTCACTTCTCCCACTTTTACATTCATTATATTTTATGTGTGTGAGTGTTATCTCTGCAGTATGTACATGTCTAGTACTCATGGTTGTCAGAAGAGGATGTTGGATTCCCTGGATCTAGTTATAGATGGTTGTGAGCTGCCATGTGAATGCTGGAAACTAAACCTCGGTCCTCTGTAAGAGCAGCAAGTGCTCTTAACTGCTGAACCATCTTTCTAGCCCTGCTAGGCAGTTTTTAAAGGTCCCACCACTCAGCACTAGCATCACATCCTACTGTATTCTAAAATAAAATAAAAAAATTAAAGATTGAAATGTAAAAAATCCTGAACAATATATAGGAGATCATTAAAATTTTCATGTAGAAGCTATTGCTGATCTCAAGATGTGAAAAAGAAAACTGATGAATCTTTTCACATAGAAATGTAAAACTTTATGTGGCAGAAGATATGGTATTATTAGTAAGTTGATGTAGTTTCTGTATGTCAGAGAACAGAATGTCCCTAATAGAATGGACAGAGGGATTGAATGGCCAACTTACATAGGGGTACAAACAGACAATGAGCCTGTGAGGAGATACCACGATTTCTATGCTTAAGGGAATAGTGAAGCAGTAATTAGTTTCTTTCATCAAAGAAAAAAAAATGAGAAGATTGATAAATGGCATCTCACATCTGTGCTGCAGAGCCAGGTTGAGGCCATGGAAGCTGTACATATCATGGTAGTTCCCAGTGATACATATGCATTTGTTTTGGATAAACTGATGCTGTTTTCTAGTTGAGTATCTTGGATTTTTGTGGGTGGTATAGGTTTATTAAAATGAATTCTGTCTCTGGGAGACTGAAGTCTGGAGGGTTTGTTTTTAGTGGACTTTGACTTTAAAGAAGGTGACCTGACCTCGGACTTCTTGTTCTGACCTTCTCTGAACTTTGCTTAAACCTGAGGTCAACCTCTGCATTTCAGGTCCCTCCTTTTTAGTGGCTTCAATAGATAACTATCCCTGGGTATGATGACATGATTACTTCTATTCTTTGCCTTTCATTACAAGATGGCTTATAAATGCCTTGTGTCAGAAAGAGACATTCCCAGAATACCTTCAGAGATTGTTTTTTATGGCAGGGATAAGAAGAGCCCAAGTCCTGCACTTTTACCATCACATAGGAAGAAGAGCAAAGCATGTAGGTGACATACTGCCCGGGCTCAGTGCTCCAGCTTCTAGCACACTCTTGGGATTTCCCTCTCTGAATGGGAGTTGAGTGGGTCCCTTGACCCCCTGCCCCTGTTAGAAAGTGCTCTTGTTTCATCCAGACCTTAATATTTGCCACTGCAGAGTAGGGTTTTCAACAAATCTCTAAAAGGGGTCAGATCTTCTCAGTGTTGGCTGGGCAACATCACTAAGGGCTTCTGAATTGCTGGAACCAGCCTCAGGATGCTGATTCAGCTGGTTTAGGATACCATTACTATGAAACAAACAAGCAAAAGCCCCTCATAGCTGAGAACTCTGCCTGATTAACAGATCCTTCATCCTGTTCTGCTGAGCTTCACGTGGGTCTGTGAATTCTTGAAGGGTAACCGAGACTGACCAGCATGTGAGTTTTACAGTGCCAAACATGATGTCCGATAGGGCCTGCTCCCCACAGAGGCCTCTCCCAGACCTTACTCTGAGGTCTATTTCTTTACTTGATGGCCAGAATCTAGGGACTGTTCTTGGGTCAGAGACTAGGCCAGATGTCAGGAGAACAATTTGACAAGGGCCTGTAGAGAGGTTATAGGGTATTTGCTCTGTCCCTGGAAGTGAATTCCTGTTGTGAGAGCATGTCTATGATGTTTTAGGTAGGGAGCTACACCACACCCCACTCTATACAGTGCCCAAGTTGGCTCAGATAGAAATTACCAGACTGTGCTTGCTTGCTTGCTTTTTCTTTCTTTCTTTCTTTCTTTCTTTCTTTCTTTCTTTCTTTCTTTCTTTCTTTCTTTCTTTCTTTCTTTCTTTCTCTTTCTT